AGAGAAAATTCACCGGAAAATCCGATATCTCGGTCCAGGCTCGCTATGGGCACGTAATATTTTAAATTTGTTAGTTTGGTGGTGAGAGTAATAATATGGCCGGAACACAGTTAAGCAAATCATCTGACATGACAAACAGTTCCATTGTAAGAGGAAGTACTGACGCTTTAGTGAACCGAAATTTTTCATTTTTTTAAAGTTTGCTTCCTCGTTTGGCCAGGAGGTCTTGACTGCGGATCAAAATCTCGAATCCTACAAGTCAGTAAGATACAAAACCTGTTCGCCATCTTTGATATGGAAAAACTGAATTGCCATGCAAGAACAAAAAAAATGAGAGAGATCTAAAGATTATCGATCGTTTCTCATTGTTCGGATGTGTCACAAAAGTATTGAGGGTGGAGAATATAGATGAATGAGAGCGAGAGTAATCTCTTCACTGACTCACCGTAGATGTTATAATACCATTACATTGAGTATCGCCAGCTAAATGTCAGGATACCCAACACAGTAATCAAGTGGGAGTGTGGGTGTGGGCTGTGGGTGTGGATGTGTGGTGCAGGCGTGGACCTTTTCTTCAAGCACACCCACACCCTCACCCTCACCCACACCCACCCTTCAGTGAACGACAGTATATCAGTGTATTTCGGTGTCGGTTTATTTCCAGTGACAGTGACATCACTGCAGTGTAACCCAGTGCTCAGTGTACCGTCCTTCAGTGATGTCAGTTATCAGTAAACCGAAACCGCACATCCCTATCTATAACAAATGGATTCCGTTTCGGAGCCAGGAACGTGATATAACGCTGTTCAAAGGCGAGAAAAAAATGCAAAATGAGAAAAACAGCGGAAAAATGAAAACTTTAAATTCTTACGCGGAAGTAACGATTTCTTCCACGGTAGCAGGGAGAAGTATGTGGACTTCGACGTCCTGGGATTCTTGTATGCAGACGATTTGACTGCAATGTGCAACTCGTTGGATGATCTCGAGAAATTCATCCAACACTTCGAAAAAGTCACCCAGCAGTATGGCTTGACTATGAGCGTCTAGAAGACATGTGTCATGTCTCTACAACAATTGGAAACCAACGTAAACGGCAAGATCCTGAGAAATCGAGAAGTCGATCAGTCTGATATTGCTTTCACAATTCGAAATCAAAAGATCGAGACAATTGACTCATTTACCTACTTGCGCTACGTAGTCTCGAGAGAACAACGATCTGATCGAGAACTGAAGTCTCGACTGGCCAAAGCATCGACCGCCTTCAACATGCTCTGGAACGTGATCTGGTATCGCAAAACAGTCTCGATAGGAGCGAAACTCCGAATCTTTCGAGCCTATGTGTTGTCTGTTTTGCTCTACGGAACTTAAGTGTGGACCCTGACAGTGCCACCAGAGAACAGAGTGAACACCTTCTACATGAAGTGTCTCCGGACCATACTAGGTCTGAATCTAGGTAACAGAGTCTCGAGTCAGAGAATATTAGAGCTGTCTGATGAGCCTATGATTGAAGATGTCATGAGAAGATGCAGGTTGAGGTGATTTGAACATGACAATACGATGGAAGGCGAAAATGGTGAGGCGTCACTAGTGAAGAAAATGATGTTCTTCCACTTCCAGGATGCGAAACGATCCCACAACGCTGATATCAGGAAGCAGTGGGAGACTAAGAATATGGACGATCTCGAAAATTTCGACATCAAGAACTGAAGAAGAGCCAGTCTAGACAAAAACAAGTGGCACGATCTCATCAACAGACATGTCATAGCGTAGCCAATGCAAACAGATATCGCAGAAGTTATATCTATGACTTCAAAATCCGTGCCAACAGAAGAAGAACACAGGAAGTAGCAATGACTCGAAGAGCATGGCTGAGAAAAGTAACTGAAGTGCTGGTGAAAGATGTAAACAGGCCCTATAGTTAAAAAACTCGGTTGAAATCCACGCGAGTGTCGAAACTTTCGTAGATGATACAAGGTTCAATTCTGCATAACCAATGGCGATTTCTAATCGATAATGCGAGCTATCAAGGAGTACAATCACTTCAATCGGATACTGAGAAATAGCACAAACGTTACATGTGAAAACATGATCTCTTTAATGCGTATTCTCGTGTATACGATTTGTCATGTTCATACGCGATTTCTCTGCAATCCTGCTTAATCTGAGTATTCACGCAGAGAATTCTTTGGTTGCACATCCAATAAGCAAAAAATACTTAAGAAACTAGATTGTTTGAGTATTCTATGTACATTCGGTTATCGGAAAACTCTGCTTGTTTTTAGTTTCTAAACTGTGGCATTTTGAGAATAATTTGGTATGATACATATTATGCTTAGTTTATTGAGAAGACTATTTACTACGCCAGAAATAAAACGAATACGAGACGAGTATAGTCATTGTGATAGCAAGTAACGAGATAAGAACACGTCCAACAACTCAACGTCATTTTATTTTCGAATGATGTATCAACTGCAAGTCATGCTCCTCGGACTTGTTCTCCTCTTTTGTGGAAATCTTGCCTTGTCATCAGCAACTACATACTACGCTGTAAAACCGCTGGAATTGTATATATAGTGTGACTTTCCAATTTCATTTGATTCCTTTTTCAATCTATTGTAGGGTTCCACTTAATGGAAGCATATTTTCGCACGATCCACAGTTGTCAGCATTTGTATTCTACGCAAATTTTACATTTCATATCGATGACAATGCAACATATTTGTACTATTTTGTACCAGGACCTGTAGCTATCGTGAATAATACATCTCCGATCATGTACATGCCTGTCGAATGTGGCACTTCGTTTCAGCGTTTATTTTTACTTGCATTCGACATGAAAAAGAAAACTTACATACAAAGTAAATGGATCTTGAAGAATGGTGGGTATGATTTTCTTTATTATGATCCTCTGCGGCATCGCTTGTTCGGATCACGTGATGTTAGCGTGTTCACACTTATCATGGAAGAGTACAATATAACAACATTGGATGTTATTCGAGAGTATACTCGACAAGATGGAGAAAAATATGCATTTCCGGATGCTTCAAATTCAATATTTGACTACAATGAAAATTGGATCGTGCAAGTTCGAGCACGAGATGAAGGTCCAACTATTAATGCGTATTTTGTTAAAATGGATTTGAATCTTGTTGGTAAGAAAGAAGATATTGTTGTTGAATTTCATCTATTACCCAATGTTCATTGGCTCTGTACGATGACTTATGATATGAAGACGAAACGCGTGCTTGCTACATGGCAATATGGATCGATCAATAATAATCTTGTCATGCTCTATATGGATCCTTATACAAGCGAGTTCAGTAATGTGAACCTTCTTTTTGAGACGCCTGACTTATGGACAGTAGAATTCATCAAAGCCATTTTTGATGAACGAACTCGTCAAATATTATTCTTGATCCAACATCAAAGTGAAGAAACATTTCACGTCAAAAATTGGATGATGTTCGTCGAATTTGACACTATGAATGTGACTGGAAAGAAACAAGTTAAAACAATACCTGAAATGGCCGATTGGGAATATTTTATTCTGCAATGAAGTGTGTGTCATTGAAAGAATGCTCCAATAAAATATGATTATTTTTCGGTCTTCTGGCAGCCAATGAATACTAATAGTGAGTTGAGATTAGACCTGTGACAGATCAAGCTGAGGTGTGGTGTGGGTATGGGTGTGGATGGGTGTGGATGTGGATGTAGGTGTGGGTATGGGTTTGGGAATGATATATAGATGAAACATCAACACTCACACCCTTATGTACAAGCATATTCTTCAATACTTTTGGATAAGTTTTTTATTCAGTTGTACAATGATTTGTGCAATAACGATAGGTAGAATATCTTTTATGAATATATAGCTGATTATGTTAAAGTAGATTGGACTCTTTTTATTTCTAAATCTGATATTTTGTTAGATGCTTTGAAGAAAACATCTTTTGGTGAGCAGAAATTCAAAACAGCATTTTGTCAAGCTAGTAAGAAAATAGACAACATACAGTATTTAGATTTTTATACTAGTTTTGGTGAGATTACAAATGAGTTTGTTGAAATATTGACAAATGTTGGGGAGAAATATGAGTTCGAGTTCGACATTTTGAATTTTTATTTTTGTAAATAAAAAATGTATGAGGTCGCGATGTTATCAAAAATTTATTCAAACTTTTTTATTGAAGTTTCGTTCGAAATCGAAATTTTCTATTCGAAATTTAGAAGTACTTGTTTATCTTGCACAGCAAGGTATTATCTCAGCATTCGATGTTCATCATCAGGTATCGATTGTTACTAACAATGGATTATTTGAATATGATAAAACAATATTTAGTAATGACAATGATCCTTTTTTTTTTACTGAAACTGAGAAAGTTCGAAGGGATGATAGACAGAGGTAAAGAAGTTAGATTTTTAAATTTGGAAAATATTGCAGTCACTTTTAAGAAAAACATTCAACGTACAGATAAAGATTCAGGTTTGCTTTTTTGAAGAAGAACCCTTCAGTCCCGACATATAATTCATTTGGAATTATTTAATAAAAGAAGATCATATCATTCTAATAATCAAATATTACACTCGCACTTATCATTCAACAATTAAAAAAAAAATTATTCTGCATTTAATTCCTATAAACTTCAATGTTGTGTATTTTTAATATTTTCTTTCTTATGTATTAATTCATCTATTTTTCTGTATATTTTATTTATTCAAAATGTAGTTTTCAGATTCATTAATTAGCCGCAACAATACTTAATCTAAGATAAATAATCTTCTTCATACCTAATATTCATGCTAGAATTAAAGTGAAGTGGATGTAAGGTAAATAATAACAAGGGTGTGGGTATGGAGTGTCTGGATGTAAGTTTTATTCTTGCTACACTCGCCCTACACCCACATCTTACATACGAGTTTTGGTTATCGAACCGAACGAGATGTTTGTTTTTAAAATTCAGACACATAGCTGTATGTAGAGAATCGAATTCTCTATATTTTACTTATTAAAGACATTTTCAGGAAAAGAAAGCGAAAGAAAAATTTATTAGGCTTTGATATAATTTATTCAGTGATGTGCATCATATTCTGATGACAGAAGTTCAAAGCTTGAAAAACAATTTTAAATGTAACTGTCAAAATTTATTTGTTGTACGTTGTATTTCCCTTACAGTTAATGAAATCGTACGATTTCGACGATGATGATTTTTGAAGTGTTGAATAGTTTTCACTACAATAGGGACAGAAATCTTTAGTGCAACAGTCAAGCCTCCAAATAGGCCAATGATACTTGTCACAAGATAAATACTGTCGACTTGATTGTTATATGAATATGTACATGATATTGGTGCACATGATGAATAGTATTGATCATAATTAATGCTATTGTACCATCGATCGACTAGAAGTTCGTTGATAAGTGTTTGAACAGTAACATTAGGTGAAGAAAGCGTGGGATCAAGCGGTTGAACAGTAAGATCTGTATTCGAATAGATCGATTTAAGTTGATTAATACAGGTTCTATTGTAGAGACAGTTGAGAGTTGATTGAAGAAGTGACTGAAGCGGATAACAACCGACACGAAAACCGGGTACAAGCCACTCATCAATCATTGCTACTGATGTACACATATAATTAATACCACATGAGCATGAAGAATTATGATCACTATAAGAACGTGATTTAGCCCAGATTGAACCATATTGAATTGGTTGAATCAATGAAGTAAAATACCAATTGGATTCAATCTCAGAAATAATACCGTTTCCTTGAGAAACTTGTTGAATAAAATCAAGTTCACGAATAACTGCACGTGATGTTGATAAATAGAAATGAGTTAGAGCTGCATCAATCTGTATTTGAATTGTTGTTTGTGATTGAGCTCGATCAGTTACTAGCGTCTTCGAATAAAAGACAATTAATGCATCGTTAATCGTGCTATTAACTAGAGTACATAATGAACTAAGCCATCTAAATTGTGGCAAAATAAAGAGACGATAATCAAAATAAGAATAGTTAAAACTATTCCAAGGATTGTAAATTAACTTTAGAAAATCGAACGAAATAATATCACTAATACAGAGTTGATGTAATCGATAAGAAATCGAAATAAATGTACCATATTGAATGGCAAGATTTTTACACGGACAATTAAGTGTGCTTGAATATATTTTATGAGATTCAAGTTGTTCAAATGTACTCAAAGATGG